CCTGGCGCAGCATCAGCGCCCGCTGCCGCTTCCGCTCGATGCTCGCGCGCACGGACGCGGGCAGCTCCGCGGCTTGTTCCGAAGGTGCGGGCTCCGGTGAAGCCCGCTCTGCCGCCGCGGCTGCTGCCGCCGCCATCTCCAAGCTACTCCGTGAACCCGGACTTAGACCACGCGCGCGCACGCGCGAACGCACACACCCGGCGCGCACACGGCTCGGCCGCGTTCCCACCCACCGGCCTGAGTGCGCCTGCGCAGTCAAGGGACGGGCAATGAGTGGCGTCTGGGCATGCGCAGGACCTTGAGCTTTTTGTATTCGTACCCACCTATTCTATTGTACCCTGGTCTAAAGGTTGGTTCTGAGGCCATTCATTTATTTTCTTTCTCTTTTTCCCCTTTTAAAAATGCATTTAAAAAAGTATTAAGGAATTGCACAAAGGGTACAATTCCACAAGTTAGGTTATGGGTACAGTGTTTCCTGGTCATTCATAAAGTGAGTTTTGCTTAGTGGCTGACAGTACGGACTTTGGATTCAGACCTAAAAGACTGAAGTCCGAATTCTGACACTGGGCACATTACTTAACCAGAGGTCAGTCTTTTAATGGTAAAATAGTACTAACGGACCGACTTCTGGGCCACTGGGAAGATGAGCTGAACCATCACAGTGATGGTAGCAGGCAGTGGTTGGCACCAATCACACAGACAAAAAGATGATTAATCTAACTTTGTGTTGGACACATGACCTAGGGAACAGAGTCTGGGATTTGAAATGAGAAGACAGATTCAAACTTGTGCAATATTTGGAACCAAAGCCAGTTTACATGAGGTTCACTGTACTTGCCTTTGAACTTGCCTTTAGTACGGCTGAGCTGCTATTGCTGATGCTGCTGCCAACATGGAGGCCAAATAGCCTGACTTCATGAAAGTGTGACAAGTGGAACAAAACATTGTAGTGCTTTACCCAAAAAAAATTTAACTATACAAAACATAATTAAAACTAGAAAACATTCAATTTTAAAGAACTCACTGCATTCTACCATCTGTGGCTAATTTTTAGAAAGATCAACTCGATACAATGAGTGTTCCATTGATGATAGAGTTTGGAATTTATAATGCAGTAGTTACAATCGATTGGTCATATGCATTATTCACGTGTGTGTATTACTTATGTCTGTGTACACAGTTAGCCAGCCTTTTTTGCAAACTTGTTACACGTAATTTTGGCTGAGTGCAGTTAAAATAATAAAATCAAAGAAATTTCAAAAACAAAAAATTTAAATTCCTGACACATGCATTACAGTTCTGTTGGTGTGGAGAAGCTCTCTGTCATATATTATCATCCATTGTGTTTAAATCATTGTGTTATCTGCTCAGTGTTTCCCTGTGTTTTTTAGTTGCATCATTATTATTATTATTTGGTTTTGCTTAAAGTGGGGCTTGAACTTAGGGCCTGGGCACTGTCTCTGAGTGTCTTTTTGCTCAAGGCTATCACTCTACCACTTAAGCCACAGTGCCACTTCTGGCTTTTTCTGTTTATGTGGTTATGTGGTGCTGAGGAATCAAACCCAGCACTTCATTCATGCTAGGCAAGTACTCTACCACTGAGCCACATTCCCAGCCCTTTAATTACATTTTTGTCTCTAAGTAGTTATACAAAGAAGTTACCACTCAACAAATCAGTTGGGAATATTGATGTTACCCCTTTCATCACTCCCTCAATTTTCTTAACTTGTAGAATATGAAATGACCTTTATGACTGCATTCCCCTCCTCCTTCCTCTTTTTAATTTTTGTTGGTGGTAGTGGCCTTGGGACTTGAACTCAGGGTCTGGGTGCTGTCCCTGAGCTTTTTCCACTCAAGGGTAGCACTCTACCAATTTGAGCCAAGTACCACTTCTGGTTTTCTGGTGGTTAATTGGAGATAAGAGTCCCATGGACTTTCCTGCCCAGGCTGGCTTTGAATCAGATCCTCAGATCTTAGCCTCCAAAGTAGCTAGGACTACAGGTGTGAGCCATAGCTCCTCTCTTCCTTTTGTCTACCTGCTTTCCCTTCACCCTACCCTTACTTTTCAAGTATCAATTTCCTGGTATTCACTATTTAAAGGAATTACACTGTTTAAATTCTCCCCTAAAAATACCATATTTTAGTTAATCAATTTGTGTGCACTTGCATCCAACTCCAGTGTGTTTACTTATGCATTTATAAATTAGAGAGAAAAGATGTATCCTTTGTCTCTCTGGGACTGACATACTTCATTTGACATACTTTTTCCAGGTCCATCCATTTCTTTGAAAATGATGTAATATCATTCTTCCTATTGGATGAGTAAAATTCCATTATATATATATATATATATATATATATATATATATCACATTATCTTGATCCATTCCTCCATTGCTGATCATCTGGGCTGATTCGGTACCTTAGCTATGGTGAATAGAGCTGCAATGAACATGACTGTGCTGATGGTTTTTTATTGCATCCTTGTTTGTAATTTTTTGCATAAATGCCTAAGAGTGGTATTGCTAGATCAGTTCTATGTTTAGTTCAGAATCTCCAAACTGCTTTCCAGAGTGGTTGAACACACTTTAATTCCCACCAACAGTGCACTAGGGTTCCTTTCCCCCAACGTCTGCATTATTGTTTGTATTCTTGATGATAGCCATTCTAACTGGGGTGAGGTGGAATCTCAGTGGAGTAGTTTGGTTTCTCATTTCCTTTATAGACAGAGATGTTGAGCATTTCTTCATGTGTCTATTAACCATTGTTACTTCTTCTCCTGAGAAGTCTCTATTTAGCTTATTTGCCCATCTATTAATTGGGTTGTTGATTCTTAAGCTCTTTGGTGTTTGGTTTCTTAAGCTCTTTGTATAATCTGCATATTAGCCCATTGTCTGATGTATAACTGATGAAGATCTTATCCCATTGAGTAGACTGGTCTTTTTCACTAGTCAGTTATGTTCTTTACTGTGTAAACACTTCTTGGTTTAATACAATCCTGTTTGTCCATTTCCCTGCTGTTGATTTTGTGAAAATATGCCTTCCACAAATCATTGTTCCCAAAAGGCAAGGAAGGAAAAGTTATGATAATCTTCCAAAGCCAAAAAGGAACTTAATGTGCTTAATTCAAGTGAAAGTGAAACTTTTATTTAGGTTTGTTGGAAGCAGCATGTCTTTACTGCAAGTTGGGTAGTGATATGGGAAAATGGGTCAGGCATCTGCAGTGCTTTACAGTTCTGAACTCTCTGCATGCTGAGTATTTGAAGTATATCCTCTTCTTACCTATCCACTGACCTTGACCAGGTGAAAAAGGTCTCAGATTCCTTTCTTTTTTCTCTTTTTATTTTTGTCGATCGTGGGGCCTGAACTCTGGGCCTGAGAGCTGTCTCTCAGCTCTTCAGCTCAAGGCTTGCGCTCTACCACTTGAGCCACAGCGCCACTTCTGGCTTTTTTCTGTTTATGTGGTTATGTGGTGCTGAGGAATTGAATCCAGGGCCTCATGCATGCAAGGCAAGCGCTCTACCACTGAGCCACCTTCCAAGCCCAAGTCTCAGATTCCATGACATCCAAAGCACAAGCAATAAAAGAAAAAGACTTTTATGCATCAAAGAACACTATCAAAAAAATTAATCCAAGAAGGAAGGAAATACTTGCAATTTTGATATCTGATGAGACTAATATCCAGAATATGTAAATAACCATTTCAACTTAATCATTTAACTTAACTTTTTACTAAAATACATGCCACTGGGCACTGGTGGCTCAGAGCTGCAATCCTAACTACTCAGGAGGCTGAGTACTGAGGATCAGGGTTCAAAGCCAGCCCAGGCAGAAAAGTCTATGAGATTTATTTATTTTATTTATTTATTTTATTTTATTTTTGTCAGTCGTGGGGCTTGAATTCTGGACCTAGGTGCTGTCTCTCAGCTCTTCTGCTCAAGGCAAGCACTCTACCACTTGAACCACAGCACCACTTCTGGTTTTCTAAGTGGTTTATTGGAGATAAGTGTCTCATGGACTTTCCTGTCTGGACTGGCTTTGAACCAAGATCTTCAGATCTCAGCCTCCTGAGTAGCTAGGATTACAGGCATGAATCACTGTCACCCAGCTGTGTGAGATTCTTATCTCCAATTAACAACCAGAAAACTGGAAGTGACACTGTGGCTCCAAGTGCTAAAGGGCTAGCTAGCCTTGAGCAAAAGAGCTCAGGGAATTCAAGTCCCATGGCTGACAAAAAGGAAAAAAAAATGCATGCCTGTTTTTAAAATTAGCAAAGGACTTAAACAACACTCCTCCAAAGAAGATAAATGGATGGCCAACAAGCACATAAAAATGTCTTTAGTCTCTGGTAAATGTATTTAGTGCTGGTGGCTCATGCCTGTAATCCTAGCTTCTTGGGAGGTTGAGATCTAAGGATTGTGGTTCAAAGCCAGCCTGGGCAGGAAAATCTGTGAGACTGTTATCTCCAATTAAGCACCAAAAAAATAAAAAGCGGAGCCATGGTTCAAGTGGTAGAGTGCTAGCCTTGAGCAAAAAAGCGCTCAGGGCTGGGTGCCAGTGGCTCACACCTGTAGTCCTAGCTACTCAGGAGGCTGAGATCTGAGGATGGCAGTTCAAAGTCAGCCCGGGCAGGAAAATCTCCACTAAACCACCAGAAGTGGCACTGTGGCTTAAGTGGTAGAGCACTAGGCGTGAGCTGAAGAGCTGAGGGACAGCGCCCAGGCCCAGAGTTCAAGCCCGATGACAAAAAAAAAAGCTCAGGGACAATACCCAGGCCTTTCATTCAACGCCCAGGACTGTGTATGTGCATGCCCACACACAAAATTACAAACAGCAAGTGATGACGTAGAAAAATTGGAATACTTGTATATTGCTGATTACAATGTAAAATGATGTAGATGTGTAAACCCCCGCTGCCTTAACCTCAGTGGGCACAGCTTGGTTGCACGCTAGCACCTGAGATGAACCTGTAGGCTCCACATTGCTAACTCTGTGAGGTTGTGGAGTGTTTCTTCTCTCTCAAAGTAATCTGAGTGACTGGTTCCCAGAACCTTCCTAATGAAGCATTCCAGCCCGAGCCTAGCAGGACACAGAGCATAGCTTAGATGCCATGCCGGCCCTGGGGTTTTGAAACTT